TTCTTCAACTCTATACCATTTATCTTATCTCTTCAGCCATTGTTTTTCAACTTCCTTCACAGGCCTCTCTTCTTCCACTTGACCTTCAGATATAGATGCTACCCAAGGTTGCCTTAGTTGTTTCCTCACTCTTGATATTATACTCTTTTGCAGTTTCTATATGACATTATGCCAATGAATACAAACCTCCTAATAGATCCCCTCTTCCCCTTGAGCTCCAGTCCAAGTCTTCAGGTACCTAACCTATTTTGACATATCTTGATTCCCACACCTAGCATCATACCCTATTACCTTCCTCCTCAAATTCTGTTCTCCCTATACATTCCCTACCTTATTAAAGGCATCATCATCCTCATCCATTAACCAACTATAATCTTTAACTCCCCCATGCTCTTCCCAATCAGGCCACAACCTCATCAGCTTCATTTTCCTCTACTCCCCAAGTACAGCAAAATCTGCTTGCTTTCTAAAATCAGACTATCATTCCCTTCATCTAGCCTCTTCTTTTTCATCAGTAAAACAGCTACTCATCCTTCAAAGTCCTACTTAAGCAACCACTACGTGAAAAGTCTTCCTTAACCTCACTTACTCTCCCTGTATCACTCACCCCTTCCCCCAGAATTCCCTCCCTCCTTCTATAATCCCACACCACTCTTTCTTTATTTTAGTTCTCAACAAACTGTATTATAGTTAGTTGCACCCTTATCTTTCTCCGCTATAGACAAAGCCCACGGTTTATTTGTTACTCTTGCACCTAGAACATGACTGGAATATAGTATGTCTTTAATCAGTGTCTGGTGAATAAATGGCAAAACTCCAGAGTGAGGACACACTTAAGGTTACTTCTCAGTGGAGGGTACGCCTCATCCTCTTTTGAACATAAAACTAATTAAGTCCCCTAGTCTCTAGCTCCCCATTTCTAGTCCACTGCTTAGTTTTAAGCAATGTTTCATGGGAACATTTCCTCACTTCCTCTTGTTCTTTGTAGGTTTAGCTGCCAGCCTAACCATATTAGCATTCAGTGGCAGCAACAAAACAGACTCTCCAAGTTCTAAAAAGTAGACTTTACAACTACCAACAGTAAAATATAAGCTCTTTTTTTAAAATGGTCTAAATATTTATGCATACATAGTTCATTCTTCATGATTCTGAGAAAGGCTTGTCATAGTTTATCCAACAGGCACCATTTAAGAGTTCTGAAGAAAATGTCCACCTAAACTGTCAGCCAAACTTTTCACATTCGTAACCACAGACATCAGCATACATGAACTAATCTAAATACTGTGCTTATATACTAAACAATACACTACAAATGGCAGACACTGTATATCACCAAACTGATGACCCAAACGAAAGTAGCTCTTTTAGCTTCTTTTAAAAATACTACATCTCCAAAATTCCAGCGATCATCCCAATCTGTAAAACTAGATTCTTTTACCAGTATCATCTACCACACACACACACACACACACACACACACACACACACACACACACACAC